CCTTTTTCTGAAAAAAAAGGGCCTTTTATCATGAAATCTTTCTGTACCAAGATAAATTTTTACTCAGAGCAGACCTTTTCTGGCAAAAAGGGCAGTTCTTTGAACCCCCCCTGGCTATGGCCTGCCTATAAATTAGTCAGATTGAACTTTCTTGCTCCTTCTCTTACCTGTCAATCCCTACACCAACCTTCTTTATCTTGGAATGAGACAACAGCTCTTTCAAACCTTTAGGTAACTCTGAAATTAAGGTGAACAATGTTATAACAGAACTCATGCCTTACTCAAGTTAAGTCCCTATTTAATTCTAAATAACTGATTTACAATATGTGTGTGTGTCTGCACAAGTGGATTCACGGGTGCACATGTGTGCAATGGCAGTTCAAGGTTTGGAAAAAGGGGGGAAGTCAAGGGTCTGTTATGTATATTGAATTTTAAGAACAGTGCACATGTAGCACATAAAAGTTCACATTTCAATAAAACAAAGCATCTATTACTTGACTGACTCCCCTTCATTTGTGGCATTAAGTTCAACAATGCTGAATAAAGCAAGCCCAAATAAATAAATAAATAAATAAATAAAGAAGCCTATGCCTTCCCCTAAGTTAAGTCCTAGATTGGCCAGTGTTCACCCCATCTGCCCTCCCCCTCCACTCCCCCTGCATTCACCAATATGAAGAGTGTGTCACCTGCCTCCCATACAGGACACATGGAACAAGTAGCAGCGTTTCTCTGGAGTACATATCTGGACCAGGGCAGTTCTGTTCTCTCTACCTCTCTGGTATGTCACTGGCCACTCAATGTCAAACCCCACTGCAGCATTGTGCTGTTGCGTTTCCAGGCTACAGCTGTGAAAACATACAGAGATATCAAACTTGAAATATGTCATTAAATACAGGTTAAGAACTCTTCTACTACTACTTTATAGCATTTGTACAATATAGATACATGTAACAAAGCTAAAAAATCCTAAAACATAAAATTACCAATTTCACATATACTAGTACAACTATACTACATGTAGATTATAAATCTACATGTAGTATAGTTGTACTAGTTATTAAATGGTGAGTTAGTGTAACAAACAGACTCTCTTGTGGTTTAAAATATATTTATTGGTATAACTAAAATTTTCACCCTGATCTTATTCAAGGGTGTTTTAGAAAGAGTGCTGGTTACACCAATAGGTGGCTTGGTCTGAAAACACATACAGACAGACGAACAGCAACTCCAGCACTGTTTGAAAATCAGGCGCCAATGCCTTTTATAACGATACGTCACATGACACAGATGCGGGAAGACAGAACAAAGGAACATAGATAAAGGAACATAGACAAAACACCAATTAGGGGGCGTCAGAATCACAGCAAGTCACAAGACAAGACAACTCGAGACGAGTGCATATTTATACATAGTTACATTAGTATGTCTCTGAAGTAAGTTAACTGTTTCAAATCCTCCTCCCAGTTAAAAATGAACTCACATTATATCCTGGCAGAGCAAAGAGCAGTCATCTTTCTGGTGTGAGTAAATTATTCCTCCCGTAAACCTCAACTCTGGCAAAGAGTCTTCAAGAACGGAGCTCTTGGTGACTCCATTTGACAATCCTGTCTGGTAAAAAACACTGTGGTTAAACTTATTTTATGTGTCAAAAAATAAAAATAAATAAATGAAAATAAATAATAATAATAATAATAAGGTAATAAATATGCATGCTGGTATGTGCAACAGGGATGGATGGAAGCCATCTTCTGGAAGACAGTCAGAAATTTTTAAGATTACATTGATGGACATATAACTTTTTCTGTTGGAAGACAGTCAAAAATGGAGGATGGATCAACAAAGGTAATTTTGAAGACTGTCAGAAAATATCTCTGGATCTGCCCCTGTCATTACATGTGCTACAATGGTGACTGCCAAGAATGCTTGTGAAAAGGTCATGTCAAACAAAACTGAGGTAATAAAATGCACATGTTAGTATGCATATATGCTACAGAGGTGACAGCCGACCCTGGGAGGAGACCCTATGTTATGAACTACATTTAAAGTAGTAAAGATATCTTGAAGTTTCATGCACATTAGCATTCCTCTTTACAGTCTCATCTAGCTACATGCCATTTTAGATTTATATTACACTTTTTTACAGCAAGGAATTCTATCAAAATTACGTGTTACCTGTGCAGATTTTGTTTCAGTTTTGAGTTTCATCCAAGTTGGGAGTTTTCTTTTCCGTGGTACTCTTTGGCTGGAGGCCATAGGGGCCTATACTTTCTGCTTTCGTCTCCTTGATCCTTGCAGAAAGCCCTGATATCACCCTTAAGGTGTTCGCACAGCAACAGCTGCGTCACCCGGCCGCAAAACAAAATCCATTTAACTGCGACTCAGTGGACTTTCCCCCTTTTAAATTTCGCGCAAGATTTTCTGCGGGATTGTATGATACAATAAATACTATTTTGAAAACGATACCATAAAAGCACACCCCATTTTATGAGTCTAGATAATTAAACCTAAACCATGAATTTTTCTACAAAGGAATATGAATTCGAATGTTGATATCAGAAACCTTAGTATATACTATTTTGACAAATCACACAAAAGTAAACTGTATGTTGCCGCTTAAGGATGGCGACTGCTACTGCAAGAAGACCCGTGTTGTACCTGGCCAGTGTAATTCCTGAGATCGCACAAACTATAAAAAATATCAACCCGAACATTGAAGTGAAAGAAGTAAAAATCGATGGAGATCCAGCAGAACTCAGTGGCAGTAAGTGTGATGCAGCCCCAGAAGTATTATTGCACTTTTTTCTCGCACGTGATGTGTTCAGTGTAGCATGAAATGTCTGAAATTCCATAGAAGCTGGAGAAAGTGAAGCAAGTCTTGGTAGTTTCATACTGGATTCTAGAACCAGAGCATAAAACCTGCCACTTTAGTTGGTACATGAAGATAAATTCATGTCAGACGACTATAAAATGATAAACTTGATGTGCGTGTGTGTGTGTGTGTGTGTGTGTGTGTGTGTGTGTTGGGGGGTGGGGGGGCGGGGGCTCTTTGGAAGCTAGGGAGCGTGGTGAACATTAGTGGCAGCAAATCTAATGTTAAGATTTCAGTTGTGCCCTATTTGAAATAAATGTATTTTACTGTACAGAACAAAGGTAAAAGAAAAAACCTGCTCAGTAAAGCTTAGCACGAAAATTCATGCGTTAGCACTCCTACTGACAATTCTGATATTGTACTAGCACTGACAGTACATATCAGAATCGTCAATAGGAGTGCAAACGCATGAATTTTCTTGCTAAGTAAAGCTTTGAAGCCAACTTTTCTAGTATGGAAAAGTGGTCTGAATAACACAATTTTCCAACAATCTTTACATCAACCAAATTATTCTAAGAGCTAGTAAAAGTAATAAATTTTCCTTGTATAAATAATCCTTTCATGCGAAGATTTGCAAAGAAGAAAGAGATGTATATGGTAAATGTGTCACTGCATTAGACAAATATATGTCACTTAATTATCGGTATCTGTCACTGCCTATAAATCTTTCACAAAAATCAGCTTTCCTATTTCAATTTAGAATGTGCATATGACATAAAGTTGTATCATATTTTTCAAGTTAAGACACCCCCAGATGTTCTTGCCTCTGCCCTGAAGGATGCTGAGGTCTTACTCACAGATCCCTTCATACTTGGTCCCATTTTGTACAGACTGCCCAGAATGAAGTGGGTGATGTCCACATGGGCTGGTGAGTAAATACGATAATTACTCGATATTTTCAGTGGTTAAAAATTATCAAACTTTTAGAAACATAATTTTGTAATCACAAAATTATATTTCTGTGTAGCATTTGTGGTGCTTTTATTGCATGTAATAGAACTAATATTGCTACCAGTCAATAGGAATGTTTAATTTTAAGAAATCATGACTAAAAAAATACAGTATCTACGAAATTCACAATTTTCCCTCATTGAAAAGATCAAGTGATTATGTCCTACTCTTCATGGAAGTATACTTTAATCTGAACTTCAGTGAGACGCAATATGGGTCACCTTTTTCATTTTCATATAATTTTCATATACATGTATGAGCATGCACTTATTGATATGTTTGTTTGTGCATTACAGGACCTGACAAAGTATTCCAGTTTGTAGACCAGTCAAAACCCTTCCCTGATTTCACATTGACAAGATTTGCTGGGAAATTTGGGCCCGCTATGGCAGAATATGTTGTTGGCAACATTGTGGCTAGAGAAAGACATTTTCAAGAAATGAGGCAGGACCAGGAGAAATGCCAGTGGTAAATGAAATTATATTTTTTTTTTATGATTTGTTCCTTTCCCCAATAAAAACTGCTGACTACAGGCCTGATTTCATTCCATTTTTTATTAAACAGGCTCCAGGAGTGTCATGCCTACCCAACTACATGTACCAGACTCGGCAACGAATGATCCCGGATTCACTGGTAGATCAGAGCACACTACCCGTTTTCAAGGTTTGCATCAGTACGCATTTAACAGTATCATACCCGGAACAAATTTTGAGATGATATGCACTACTTTCCAACCCCGCTGAGAATCATCACTATCACATCGGGTACTAGCTATAGGCAAGAGCAGTGTCTGATATTTCAAAGCACGTGCTGATACACACCTTGAAAACGGGTAGTGTGGTCCTATCTACTGGTGAATGGGGGATCATTCAGTGCCGAGTCTGGTAGTAGGGTAGGCCTGAGTGTCAAATGTTGAAGTGTTGATCTGCCTAGTGTTTGCAAGCAAGGTGTTCCCCTGGGGACATTTTGTTATTGTCACTGTTAGTGATAATTCATGGTTTCTTTGGTTATTTTTGCACCTCAATTTGTATAGAAAAAATGCCATATTTTCATTCATTCTTTCATTCATTCATTCATTCATTCCTTGAAACTGGTATTCATTCATACTCTCATTTGTTCCTTTAGTCTTTGGTTTTCTTTTGTCAGTAATTTGAAAAAAAAAATTTATGTATGCAGGAATTGGTCAGCCAGAGCAAACTACCGTCTTCTGTCTACTCTCTCATTGGGAATCCTGGGATTGGGGGAAATTGGAAAAGAAGGTGACTTATTCCAGGAATTTTCCTAATTACTCAGTTGATTTTCACATTTTCTGCAGAAATATGCTTTGTAGGGAAGTCTTATTTATTGAATATCATCCTTATATTTAGGTTAAGCATGTTATTTATGGATTTTTAAAGCTGATCTTTTGCCTTTTGGTGATTGATTTCATTGAGGCATATAGCAGTTTGTAAATAGAGTTCTATATTTTTCAGATGATGATGAGGAAGGTGATGATGAAGTGTGTGTGTGTGTGTGTGTGTGTGTGTGTGTGTGTGTGTGTACACGGGCATGCATATGTGTGTGTGTGTGTGTGTGACAGCGCATGTGTGTGTGTGTGTGTACACGGGCATGCATATGTGTGTGTGTGTGTGTGTGTGACAGTGTGTGTGTGTGTGTGTGTGTGTGTGTGTGCGTG